ATTCCATCCCCGAGACGATGTTCGACCCGTCCTTGCTCCTAAGCCCCCACGTTTTCCTCCTGGGCGTCCTCTTCCGACATCAAGCTTTCAACGCATCCAGCCTCACCTCGCCGCACCATCTTGATAACCTGGACATACATCCCGGCGAGCGGGAGCTGCCACTGCCGTTGAGGGAGGACTTAAACAATACTTTCATATTTCGTCGTGCCATCGAGACGTTGACGGGCTACCAAATTTCCAACGATCGCATCTCCTCTGGCATGATGGCGGCGTGGATTCAGAGAATCGGCGAAATACTCGGCTTCGAGTATCCTACGATAGCGTACAACTTACGTTACAATGCTGCCAATGCGTTCGATCAGAGTGGTCTGTCTTATTGATAATTTGATGGCCAGCAATGCTAACTTGCACCACAGTCGACGTCAGCGAAGCCCTCCGGAATCTGGCTCTAGGACATGGCAACTCCGATCCTTTCCAAAGGCACTACCTCGGGCGGAACATCTCAGCCGACCTTTGGGGTGTCCTTCGGGGTCAGAAGCCACAACAGGCGCTCATCAAGCAGTCCTGCAGCATCGGCCACTCCATCTCCGAGCGCCGCCCTACTGGCCTTACGTCAGAGCAGTCTGCATCAGTCGTCACACATCCGACTATCAGGGACCTGACAAGGGCTCTTCGAGAACTGCCCCAAGGCTCTAAACAGTTTAAAGAAGCTAAACGAATGATACGGAACGAAAAGCAGAGGCTTCGGAGAGAACTCAAACAGAAGATCAGAGATGAGTGGACTGACAAGCAAGCTACAGACGACATCGAGCGTCAGATCCATGGCGTCGGGTTTGCACACCCTACACTGGGCGACACCTGTCGACCTCAGGGCCCAGCACAAAGACACCTGATGGCGAAGTTGACCGCCCCGGTCGTGGCCACGCTCGAAGGCCAATACCAACGGAGGGACGAAGCCATCGATGCCGTTTCAGCATATTGTCTTGTCCATGAAGGATCTACTATACCCCTGTCTCGCCCTCGGTCGGCACCAAAGGTCACAGTTTGTGACCCTATTTCTGATCCGCCAGAGGGAGGCCGCTTGGATCTCGCCATGCGATCCGTCTTCATCACTCATGCCAAGGAGCGGCCCAAGAGGTGCTTTGTCTGTATTGGCCAGGCCCTAGACTTACCTTCGGACGACCGGTGTCAGTTGGACGAACTCACCCATGAGTTCTACACATCTAATGACTTGACCAAACACTTCCGACGCAAGCATTTGTCCAAAGTTGCTGACGGTGATAGATCTGAGTGTAAGGTTTGCGAAATGACGCTCGATCACAAGATGCACCTCCAAAATCACGCCCTGAAGATACATGGCACCGTGTCTTGATCCCATACCACGGGGCACAAGGTTCTGGAGGGCAGACTGAAGTGTCGAGGTTTTCAATCATACGCATTTTATGTTGTGAACTTCGATGCGCGGGCACCCGTATAGGCAAGACATGAATGACAACCCGATTGACTACCATACGTCGACTTTCCTAATGATGAATGCTGATTGACGGGGCTCACATCAAGGGAAGTAACCTTCTAGATAAGGGGGATGAACATGTAGTATCATTACCGGCAACAAAGATGAGCCGGTACGGATTGAGAAGAGCGTTCAGCAAATGATGGCCAAGCATAAGGTCACACCTTCCTTCGCAAGGAAAGTCCATTTCCAGCCGAAAAAAAATACGAAGAGGTTGCGAACAGAAGGCAAGACTGCATTTTCTTGGTGGAGAGAGGTAAAACAGATTTGAACAAGATAGTCTAGGCTTTAAATTGGAAGCAATTTGCGTGACAGCCTGTTGTTTCTTACATCCGTCATAGACACCTTATATTGTCTAAGGACCCGTCTAAGGGCCCGTCCCGGGACTCATTTCAGGACCTGTCTTGGATCCCTCGAACGAGGATTAGTCTCCGAATCCGTCTCGATCACATGGAGGCTGCCGGGGCGATCACTAACTGCCCATGTCTGGTCGTGTTGTTAAACATCTCGCTTGAATTGGCCAGATCCGCTGAAACAGAGAATAACTCGCATAACTTTATTCAAACCAGCAGCGAGGCTCTTCATAGTCTGTGCAGCATAGCTGATTGGTTTGTAATGTGAATGATAAGATAGGTGTACTTGTCGTGTGGTATGTAAGCGCCAAGAAGAACAAATGTCCGTGCAGACAAGGGCAAGCGAAGTATGTAGGATGGCGCGCTTTTCGTTGGCCACTCTCAGTAGATCTGCATTCACTCGACATCGTTTTGTGACGCCTACGCCAACGCCAAATAGACCTGGGCAGGGTTCGCATCTTGATCCTTCTTGGTGCTTATGCTGTCATTTTCCAGGAAGGACTATTGTAGTGGAGCATCGTTCCTCCTTGTGCTACTTAGCCAGACTTAGAAGATTAGCTCCCCATTCTAGCACCAATTTCTAGTCCTAACACTAGTCCTGACAAAGCTGTTCTGGCACCTGTTCTAGCACCAGTCCTAACTCTCGTCCAAGCACTTGTCATAGCTCTCGTTCTAGCAGCGTTCCTAGCACGCCAGAAACAGGTGCCAGAACCGGATGCTAGAAACCAAGTGCCAAAACCAGGTGCTAGAACCATTTGCTAAAACCATGTGCTAGAACCAGGTGCTAGAACCGCCAGGAACAGGTGCTAGAGCCATTTGCTAAAACCATGTGCTAGAACCAGGTGCTAGAACCAGGTGCTAGAACCGCCAGAAACAGGTGCCAGAACCAGGTGCCAGAACCATTTGCTAGAACCATTTGCAGAACCAGGTGCCAGAACCAGGTGCCAGAACCAGGTGCCAGAACCAGGTGCCAGAACCAGGTGCCAGAACCAGGTGCCAGAACCATTTGCTAGAACCATTTGCTAGAACCAGGTGCTGGAACCAGGTGCTGGAACCAGGTGCCAGAACCAGGTGCCAGAACCATTTGCTAGAACCATTTGCTAGAACCAGGTGCTGGAACCGCCAGAAACAGGTGCCAGAACCAGGTGCCAGAACCAGGTGCAAGGACCGGGTGCTATCGAGTGTTGCGCAAGAGAGTAGACGGACCGAGAGAGACAGCGCAATGTGACCCTAACTACTAAAGATGATGCCACGACTAAGTTCAGGGAGACAGCAGCCTAGACGGCCGCGGAATGAGTACTGCTCATGATAGCAAGAGAATGCAAGATGACGAGGCAAAGAAAGTCCAAGACGAGAAGATTGATTGTGCTCGGTGAATGCATGGTCCCGCACAAAAGACCTCTCAGCAGGAGTTCCGGTCTAAGCATAAAGGATTAGATTGGTGTTGATGGCCCCATCTATTCCGCTTGGGTAAGAAAAGTTGAAGTACTTGGTCATATGGAGAGCTCAACCCTCTCAAGTGATTCCCGTAGCATCTACGGTTAGTGCATAGGCAAACCCCTCAGTAATTCCTCAAAAGCTGAGAACTCTTCATCTATTCTCGCCAGAGCCCATCTGCGATAGTCTCATAGCAGCCACCGCCAGGCTCCGAACTGATGCCGGCCGACCCGGCTGACCTTCAACGTGGTTCCGGGTTGCCTCCGGTGGCGACCTCCACCTAAAGGGCCAAGCGCCGCCGCGACGTCGAGGCACAGCCACTTCGGCCTAGCCTCACGGGAAGCCAGCCTGACGTCAACAAGGAGGCTCTGTCACGGCGACGGGATCGACGTTTATGCGTGCGGGTTTTTCTTACATTACTCAGGTCCTTCTGCAACTTGCGCGTAGGCGGCCGTGGCGGGCTCGGCCACCGCCGATGCTTCTTGATTCGATTTGTCCTACTCGGTTCCAGACGCCTTTGCTAGCAGCGAAGCCCGGAAAGCAACGGTTGGCTAACAGCCGACAGGTTGGCAACGAGTCCCGGCGCCTCACTTCGCCCTGCTGTTGAATCAAAACTAGCTTGTTCCCAGATTCCTCGCTAGACTGCCTATCCTGCATGTTCCTTTTCTGTTGGAGGGCCTGTTTCTGCTGCGTCCACTCTTCACTGATTTTGCTCTTCTTGCCTTGGAAATCTCTCGCTCGTGTCTCCCCTATCATATTTGTTTCTGGGTACCTACAATCCGGCTCCGGGCTGCCCAGACCAGCCATATCTGGTTAGACCGATGACGTGACTTGCCATCGATGGCTAGCTTCGCTCTTGGTAGAGTCAGCTATCATTCTACTCCAAAAATTGCCAGGCTCGGACGGCCTGGGGACAAGTTTGGACGGTACGAGGACGTGCCTGTGACGTCCATGAGGACGCGCATGGAACGGCATGAGGACGACGGTGATGGTGGTTTGGATAATTCCTTGGGACTTTGATAGACAAGCTTAAATGCTAGATTATGGTTGGCATACAGTCAATTGCGTGAACCTATGCATAAGGTTCCTGAACCGTAGCATTCTTCCGCTAACAGCGGGGAGCCTGTCGGGGAGAAAGGCAATACTTGGTACTCTACCATTAGCTATTGAATGATAAGCCCAGTTCCGGTCCATCCTCATCGTTAAGCTTTATGTCTACGTAGCACACGTCGCGAAAAGTTCCCGCTTACGTTATCTGCAGTCTAGCCACAGCAACGGGAGGCGAGGTAGCATACGCAGGACTCGTCGCGAATCGCGAAATGGGTACCGCCAAAGAGGCTGATACCGCAAAATAGTCGTGTTATAAAGAGAGCTCCGCAAGCGCAATGTCCAAATGCGATCACTGTAGATACGGTGCCAGACTTCGCGGTATCGGCAAAATAGCTTGAGCAACACCACCCTATAAATGGGACAGATGGCGCCAAGTACAAACCGCAGTCCGTCTGAGCCGTTGTTCGTCGCGGTCAACTTTCTACCATCTTGTCAAACGAGGCTGCATCCTCATCTACCTCCAGGACTCGCAACCGATACCAACTAGTAGCATCCTCCAATACGTCTCTGGCATTTCGTCCATTTGGCCCTGTCGGGTAGACTTCCAAGATCCGTTGCCGAACTGTTTCGATGTCATCGTACCCGCCTTTCCGGCCGGAGATACGACTCATGGCCATACAAATCACCGCAGCGGCGGCGTGCGCATAGCAGGTGGGCTCCTGCCCCTGATTCGAAGGATTCTGACATCCGCGAATGTTCTCATCGTTTATGTACTCGTCGAGTTCGAATCTGCCCACAAGGTCGAGCAGCAGGTTCGCTGAACCAAAGCGTGCCGATAGTAGTAGTGAACATATCTCATTGAGAGCTACCGAGGTTGACACAGTGGCATGTAATGCGATCTCGCCGGCTGAGGGAATGCTCCAGCCCATAGAAGCCAAGGCCGGAATCGGATGTGCCACGCCGGCGACTCTTGATGCCATGTCAAACAGTACGCGCTGTCCATGATGCCAGCCTTTCGCCGGTTGGTAGTGTAAGAAACGTTCAGCTGCTGCCTGATTGCTGGTGAGGTAGATAGATGCAATACTCACATTCGCCTGCTGTAGGCTTCGCGCTACAGGCATCAGATCCCCGTCAGTGGAGAAGCCGTCCGAGATTACGATGAGAACGCGGTCTTTTATCTCAGGATGCCTTTTGAAAATCTCCAGTGAAAACCCCAACGCGTGCTGCATCGGTGTTTGGCCGTACATGGACTCGCGAAGCTTTTTCAGCCAGGCGACGTCGTTCGTACGCTCTTGTAGTCGCGCCAGCAACCGGATGACTTCGCCGACAGGTCGGGGTTTGATAATGGAAAAGTCCTTCACCCATCTGGAGAAGAAGCCACGCGCGAGACTGAGCGCCGCTGGCGGCCACCACTCCATATATTTGCTTTCAACCTCCTCTTCAACTTTGTCGTGAAGTGCTTTCATTCCATGGATAACTTCGTTGGCTCCTGAGACAACATTGCCAAAATAACCTGGATGCTTATGTTGTGCTCCAGGATATGATGTGCGGACAACAGCGGTCGAATCTCCGCGCCCGTTTGTCTTGGTTGTGGATGGAATCGCTTGAACCGTAGGTAGGATACTCGAAGACGCTAATGCCTCCATAAACTCGTCAACTTCACTTGGATGCCGCGTCAAATATGCGTAGATGATGCGCGCCTGACCATCAAGAAACTCCCTTTGAATATATTTCGCGATGTCAGGAACCCCTTTCTCCTTAGCCCGATCAATGAGGTCATGACCGGAACGTGGATCGGCAGCAAGTCTGAGTAGCGCATCGGCAGCTTCGCATAGATCGATTGCTTTCGGGTGTTCTTTGTTGTTGTTGTCAAGGCCGAAAACGCTAACAAATATCAGGGCTTCAGAGTTGTGATGGTTCTGTGACTGGGCGAGCTTTAGAGCTGCAACGAGTACCGCGCTGAGACGATCGTTTGCTCGCTCATCAGAACCATCCGTCTCGAGAGCTTCACGCATGGACGCGGACACATCGAGGAGGCAGCCGACTATGGTTGAGGGCGAGGCATCGGTCATCGTGAATGTGATCGCCAACTCAGATTGTCAAGAGACTGGGAAACGTAGAAAGGCAGAACACTTTTTCAGGGTGCGCTTTCCCAGCAGAATGTGATCTGTGATGGTTGGTGCCTAACTCCTTTGCCGAGTGTTTTCGCAGGGTTACTATTGGTCATGTTTTCGACATGCTCTCTTGTTAGCGACCATCACACGTCTATCTGGCTGCCGTGATTGAGGGGAACGGGGTTGCAGTAGTGGGGAGGCAGTCTTGGGCCTCTCAGAAGTATTATCAATGCAGATCAACATTGGGCCGACCACTGGAGGATCGCGCAGGCTAACACAAAGATGTGTCGCACAGGCCAGCGACGACTCTCACCTCCACGCGGTGCTGGCTGGGAACCTGTGAATGCCTTTCGCCCCGGGGCATTCGCAGAGCGAAGAAGAGTCACCACCGACCAGCGTTTGTCTGCTGGTTCGGGTAACGGGTGCGCACAGGGCTCCTGAGCCCTACCACCCACAAGCCACAAGGGAACACTTTGAAAACCACCCGACCCACGACCGCGAAATCGAGCCTACAAACGATGGACATATGGGTTATGGAATAGGACACCCTTGGGGTGCTTTTGGGCTGCTTTGCCGATGGGAACCAAGCTGCGTCGAGAAGCGAGAAGACGAAAGCGTACGACAAGACCGGAAGAATCGAGAATGACACAAGTGACACGACGCGGCGATCCCATCCACAAAGAACGACGAGGCACCTTGGTTAGTAGAAGGGACAACACCGTGTCGCTTGGCTGTCTCGGTGACAGAGAGGATACGGATGGAGGCCCTCCTGCGAGACACGGTCGGCCCTGCGAGAGAGATCATGTAGGGTAGCGCGAAACAGATCTGACAGTCTGCGGGGCGCAGCATATAATGGAAGCGACGGAAGGCTGGATTGGCGGATCGCAGATACGACACTTTCTATATGGCTCGAGAGGACGGACGCGCGTGTCGGTCTACCGCGAGAACGGGACCTTTTGAGGTGGCCATCGAGGATGGAACCCACGAGGAGGCCGTTGAGGTTGGCTTAAGGAGCAAACTGGTGTTGACTTGCGAACCGGCAGTGCCCCGCGAAGGAAGCGGAACAGGATCCATGGGGATGCAAGGTAGAGGGTCTATGTATGTAGACGCGCTGCGCCTCTACGAAGTATTTTCAATACAGATCAACACTTGGAAGCCAGTATTCTCGCGCAACTACGCACCGGCATGGCAAGACTGAATTGGTACCTGCACCAGATCGGAGCAACGGCCTCGGTGCATTGCGCCTGTGGGCATGCGGCAGAATCGGTAGAGCATTTTCTCTTCCGTTGCACACGGTGGACGGCACAACGAACTCAGATGCTTCAACAGACGGAAACGCAGAGAGGAAACCTTTCGTACTTTCTCGGAGGAAAGAGCGCGTCCGATCCTGATGACTAGTCGCCGAACGTAGATGTTGTCAAAGAGACGATCAAGTTTGCCATGAGCACGAAGAGGCTGGATGCTCAGATCAGCCAGCGACAAAACGACCATGAGTAGTTGTTAACCCCGCCATACCAACCCACACCAACTCATACACCAACCGACAACACCTCCACGCACCCTCGTGCCATCGACAACAGGACTGGCTTCGGCCGCCGACGATAGGACGCCGAACACTTCAGGAGACACCCTCAGGATGGCCTGTTACTAACTCCACGAGCAACCGTAGCATTGGCATGTAAAACTGAAAATGACACATACGGAGACGGACAAGACTTGTATGGGCTTCTGGGAGGCAAGGATATGAACGAAAGTGGCGAATATGTAGATAATCACACGAGCCCTGAATAGCTTAGCCGGGGCGTAATAAACTATGTATGTATGTATGTATGTGTCGCACACCACGCGCTGTGGTCAAGTGGCTTGCAACCCATCACAAAACATGTTGTAGGCGCGCGTTCTTGCACTGAGAATCCGATCGAGAGCAGCTCACGCAGCTGTAGGCGGAATGCGTCGGCGACGAACGTGTAGAAGGCGAGTACGGGAGTCGAAGCTAGGGGGGCGATTCCTAGCATGGTTGCCGGTTTCGCAACATCACTGAAGGGCTGGAGCGGAGAGGAGATCCGGGGCCACCACACATAACACTCCAACTAGGCATTGCGTCTTAAGTATTGAATCTTCTGTCTGGGTTTGAACGCTATCTTCAGTATTAATACGTCTAAATGATAGAAATCTGCCTCCGTCTTTTCTGGCGAAGCCAATTTCGATTCACCTCCTCGTGCAGAAACTTGAAGTAACCCAGTCTCCTTGACGTAGTACTCCCGTCCCAAGTGAGGACGATCCCATACGATTGGCGAAGGCCTTCAACACTCGATCGGATTTCTAGACACCTTACCCTCTGCCTCTTCAACCGTGACGGCTCATCCCAGACCACTTCGATTGGCAATGGAGAAAAAGCTTCCTCTTGATGACATATAGTATCTGCTTGGTGTATCCCAGAGGACGACCGACTTCTGCTTCTGGCAGCTAGTATCCTGGCCGCCCGCGATGCTCTATCTAAGTTGTCACGAGACATGGCTAGAACCATCACCCGTCCATCCCACAGAGCGTGCAAAACGTGTCCCTTTACAACCAACTGCCTCCCTTCGACACAGCTGACGACTTGCAGGATATCCTCATTCCAGTTGAGCTCATGATGATCAGGCCAGGTTATTGGTGATCGAATCTTAGCCCACGACCATGACGGCGTTAGTCTCGTGTTGACAGATCTCCAGTAAGGTCAGCAGCAGTCGCATAATGAATGGGGATAAGTCTGTTGGATAAACGATGTTGATTTAATGCAATACCACTGAGGTCCATTGATCAAAAGGTGATTGTTGTGCTTGATTGAGGTATTTCCCCCATTCCGGTCCGAGCGGGGCTCTGTCTTGTATTTACCCATCATCGCCGGTTCGTACCCATTATTCAATGCATTTCTAGCATCCCTTTAACCAGACACAGTCGTCAATCCAACAGGACTGCCCTACAAAGGATAGATGCCACTCGTTTATAGATCTACTGCACGCCCAGCAGATCACTCTAGGCAATACAACCAGACTTATCCCCATTTCATTATGCCACTGCTGACCATACTGAAGATCTGTCACTATTCCTATCCTACTTACCAGCCTCCTGCTGCTGAATGTGGAGAATTCGTTGTTAAATATTGGCCAACCCGATCTGTGTACCTAACTTGTTGTGTTATTAATCAGGTAATGCAAGAGGCGGTCGGAGCAATGTTGCAACCCGCACTTCCTTTCTCGATGAGAATCTTCAGATGAGGAAGGGTTTCTTGTTCTTCTATCTGCGTCTGTTTCCTTTTTATCCCTTGATGTCGTAACCTTGTACCGAGCATAGCTAGTAGTATCCCATGTAACGGGCTCGACCCGGCACAATTATACTTGTAGTAAGCTAGATAAATGGCATCGACCTTTACCTTAAACCCTTTACAGCAGGTGAGAGGATCAATATGAACTGAAACCGATTGCTCTTAGCCGTTGGCAGCCCAGTAGCCAGGATGCGCAGTGCAGCAAGACTTGAAAGCTTGCCAGTTGGAAGTACAGCACTATACCGCGTTAAAATCTGTCCGAGTTTACACCTGCGCGTGGGTTACTAACAGCACCGTCTTGTTGGTAGCTACCTCCGGGACAGCATGATGAGGTGTATCCAGAGTTGGAGTTGTCAGATCTCAGGCATTGCCAAATTAAGGATGGGCTGTTGTTGCAATACGCAGCGCATACACCGCTCAAGAAAGTGCTCTGAAACTCGCACGTTAGATTCTCATGGGGGAAGGAGGCTTCTAGGATTAGTTCTCACAAAGGGCAGCAAAGCAGCAAGTTGATAGACCTTCATTGTTGTCCAAGTTGTCTGATGAGTTGACTGGGGTGGTGCATGGCGTCTTGGACAACAATTGTCGAAAGCCAAGGTGGGAGTTGTTATATATTCAGAGCTTGTTCACTGCCACAATCAGTCTAAGTGAGACCCACTTGTCGCCTTTCTACATTGTTTACAGTTGGTAATCGGTGGGATGGTCCATCTACGTGGTGCGTGGTATTAAACTTTCTTCGGAAATTCCTTCGGAAAGTGAAATAGATGAGAATGCCTCGGACAGGAACAAGTGTGAGCCTTTTGACTTGTCCATTTGGTTCGGTCATTTCAGGGAGACTGTACTATGCCGATCGTTGCCTTGATATGGGATATTGCCAATGGCTCCGAAAGTTCATGAACTCAGTCGCAAGTGGCACGATCAATGTGCGTATACATGGGTCGCCTTGCTCGGTATGCCACCCCGTAGCTTCATCTTTCTCTGAAAAACTAGCGTTTTAAAACGGTAGGTAATTACAATACGCTCCAGATGTATTTTCGCAAGCGATGTGATTGTAGGCAGTTAGTGACATTTGAATGAGGGTAATCGCATTGATTCTGTCAACGTGCTGATTCTAACAAACTTTACTAGCTCGCCAATGAGCTGAAATCAAGCGTGAGCAAATTAACCTCTGAGTTTGAAGTATTAATTATATACGAGTTCATGCGTGATTTAACGGTTTTGAATTAACTGATGTGTCTGTTCTATTGCTTACCTTTTGATGGAAAATACTCTATCAGACTTGGGAGGCACCTCTTGGACACGCTGCCAGGGATGCGAAAGCACGAAAACGTAAAAGAAGTCCGATGATACTGGAACCAAGGCTGGAATTAGGATGATCCATATGTGACGGCCCGCTAGTCGTAGTGAGGTATATTAGGAGAAATTGAAGCTGCGAATACTGATGAACAGTGTCGTAGTCGTGGTAGCTTCTCTGAAGCTATGCTGTAAGTCGTAAGGTGGGTAAGGCTTCGGTGACCAATCGTAGTCTTGTCAAAAGGGTTCTCAGTGAAGATAGCTGAAAGTGATCGTGAGATCGAATACTAAGTTGATTGCTGAGATACCTATGGGAGTCTGTCCTAGAGCCCGGCTCGAGTCCATCCTACATACAAGCCTCTTCCTTGAACATATCTTTTGTTAGTGATCATGATTTGATTTGATTAATTCCTACTCGGTTTTGGCCGCTTTAGTCCGCATATTCCAGTGCGACTTCAATATACGAAGTCCCGTCTGAATATAAGGCGCAGACGCTTCTGTGGGAAAATACCCGCTGTCGGGGTAGTGGAGCTAAGAGAGCGGGCATAGGTAACTTATCAAGATGGTATAGACGTTGACGGTCATTCGTTAATGCTTAGATTGTGCTGTAAAAGACTTTTTACTACGTCGATGAGGGGCTGCGAAGTGTTTTGATCGAGGCTGAGAACCCTTCCGTATAATGCATTGCCATGGTGCGTCTCATGGATACCAGAGATCGAGTGTCAACAAGTCTTCGAGCGCCACGTCCGAGGGCTCTCGAGAGGCTTCTGGCGGGAGCGAGAGGGCGTCATAAGCAAACGACTCGAAGTGACTACCAACAGAGGTTAGGTCGTATGCCAGTATCCAGCTGTCCTTTGCGCTACTGGTTGAAGAGCCAATTATCGTAGGATTTCCAGGAGATATCTCGTTGAGTTGTGTCTCTGCCGTATTGGGTTGGTGATTCAAGCATCCAAGCGGGTGCATATTGATCCAATTCGTCGAGGCTGTGCTCGAATCGTTGGCTTGCAGGGGCCATGAATTCTCAAAGTTGTTTAACCCCACTGTGTGCATCGCCGGATATCTTGGTATTGTTTCCAGCCTGATATCGAGGCCACTCGGATCGTTGGCATTGGATGGAACCGTATCAGGCAAGTTTGTTTGAGTTGTTATGCTGGACGATTTCGAGGAGTTGCGGGAGGGTTCTCAGAAAACCTTGGTAATGTTATTCCAGTCCCTAAACTGATACTAGAAGGGACCGGACTATTTAGACGTTCGCTTTGCCGCGAGTCTGGAATGGCAGACTGGGAGTGGTATCGCGTGGTTCTAGCTCAGATTCTAGGTTTAAAGAGTGCCTTCTAGCAATTAATCTTCGCAAAGTACCTAGGAACTTTGTTAGAGCCAGTGTCTACCATTGGGCATGCGAGCCAGGCGGTGTGAGCGATGAGGCTTTCTAGTGAAATCAGAAACCACAATTGAACAAAGGATAAACCTCGCAGCGGTGCAGCGTTAGCCTATGAAGTCCTAGTGCAATTTATTGAAGTCAATTAGAAAAGTTGATTTCCCTGTCAATCTTTGCTCGTACCTTGCGACATAAACTTTTCGTCATCACTGTGGTCCTTCTCTCCCTTGTCTCAAGGAGGCGACCGCTTCGCCTCCATAGCGTTGAAATGATCCCGATCTGGCAAGCCTCTACATAGAGTCTAATATTCCCACATGACATATCATTCGCATTGCTCTGTCGTCCCGAGTGACTCAGTGAGTGGATCCATGGTAACTACCTGACGGCAATCTAATACACTTTTCCTCTCATGCCTAGATTAGGGACTTATTACTAATCCTCTAGCCCGTTCAGTCTCAAAAAGCACACCAGCAGGGGTCTCCTAGCTTGGTTGAAGCGTATGGCTCTTCAGCAGCCCTGTGCTAACCACAGATAGCGACGCACCGCTGAAGAAAAACCTCCTCCCATAGGCTTAGTTGTCCACGAGTCAATTTCATGTTTTCCAACACTATTCCGAATTGTTCGGGAATTCTGGGCGCAAAAGGGGGTGAGGAAGAACAGGGGCTCAATGTCGTCGATAGGTATGCAAAAGAACATTGAAGCGCATCGTCTCAGGCTCGCTAACGCTATATTCGTAGCGAGTGAGCCTCGTAATAGTGCGTCGCCTGTTCGAACTTCTCAAACGTGCCCGCGTCTCGTACCGGGCATTCCAGTAGGCTTCGGCTTGGCCTGTCGGAGGCGGCGGTGGTGGCCCCGGGTCCTTCGCAGTCCCGGGAATCGGCCATAGGGCTTGGATATGGCGGTTCTTTATGTAGTATATACTTGGTGTACCCTAGAGGGCGACCGACTTGTGCTTCTGGCAGCTGGTACTCAGGTCGCTCGTGATGCTCTGTCTGAATCGTCACGACACTTGGCTAGAACCATCGCTCGTCCATCCCACAGAGCGTCCAAAACCGTTCCCTGACAACCAGCTGCCTCCCTTCGACATAGCTGGCGACTTCAAGGGTACGATCGTTCCAGTCGAGCTCGTTGGCATCGAGCCAGGTAACCGATGATCGTTTCTTGGCCCACGACCATGGCGGTGTCAGGTGACACGTCTGAAGGATTGCTGGTTGTATCCATATCCTGGCGCTGGCAATCGCGGCACCATCAAAGTTCTCTCGGCATATCTGTCGTCCACAATCCGGCTTTGCACCGCGACGGGTCTCAGCCCTTGGTCTTAGCCATGACTATGGGGACAACACAATCAAAAGCGGACAAATTGTTAGCTAACCTCCCGGTTTGACGTGCAGAATACTTGGGGGCTTGCTGTGGCTAGTTTGCGAGATGCGGTTTAGGGTCATCAACTCCTGTGTTCCGAGTGTCGAACCTCGATCCATTAAACGGGGAAGTGCTCCAGTGAATCTCATCTGAAGTTGATAACTCGTTAATGTCGCTATCTGTGAGGACATTTTCCCGGCATTTGAATACTACTCGTAGCTTCACCAGCGTACTATTACCAGACTTGCAATACTCAAGATATTTAAAGACAGTGATGTTCGTGTTTGCAGCCAGATAAGCAGATGCTTGGCGAATGGCTTTGGGTAGGTACGCGAGGCACTCAAGCAATTGCGTCGTGCTTTGACTGTCACTGAACTGGCTTTCGTCCAAATTCTTGTGCAAAAGCTCAGCGGCTTCCATAGCATTCATCTCTTGTAGGTGCATGGGTTTACCTCCACTCCATCTTGCTGCAGCCTTGTGGTTCCGCGGTGTGATCAAGATAAAGCCTTTCCGACTGGAAGGGAAATAAGATGTAAGCAAAGGGCCAGTGAACAGTACCTCCATATCGTCGGCATTGTCGACGATGAGAAGCCAGCTGCCAGCGTCGTCTCGTTCCAGTGCAGCCTTCACCAGACTCTTGATGTCCGCTTGGTCATCCTCGATACCTATGATGTTGAGCGCTTGACCGATCTCACGATATGCATTCTCAAACATGATTGTGTTTACGGCTGGAACCCAAAAAACGGAGCAGTCTGGGTGTGCATCGCGAACGCGGTAGGCGGCCTCGACCGCGACCTGTGTTTTGCCAATTCCCCCCAGGCCCACGATCGCAGTCCTCTGACAGGCGTCTCTGTTAGCGCTCGGAGGTATTCGCTCCAGGAGCCGCGTCAGGATCGCATCTCTGCCAACAAAGCTTTCGTTTCGTCCAAGCGGAACGATGAAGTGAGGTTCCCGACGAGCTGGCAGGATTTTGGCTCTTAGCTTTCAATCTAAACTCAATCTACATGATGTACTTACAACTCTGTGGCTCGTCTAGATTGCTAGAAGTTAACGGTGGGATGATATTCAGCAGCTCTTTAGCGTATGCTGCCGCCGTCGCTGCTGCGTATGGTTGCCACAGCTTGTTCTTGTGCGCGTCTGCATAGTCGCAGATGCCGCGGATAACGATATAAGGGAAATCGTTCATCGGTCCGGCTGCCTCCATCTCGAAGCACAAGACGCCTCCCAGCTCCTTACTGTATCTGTCGCGCGTCTGACCATCCTTCATCACCTGGTTACCGGATGCGATGTTGCCGAAGAAGAGGACTGGGTCTGGTGTTGCGCGTGCGTCCCGGTCCTCTGCATCTTCTGGACAGCATTTCGCGCATGTAGCTCCGGCGATGTGTAGCGATGACGCATTGTAGAGCGTGTCTTTTTCAGGGCCTGGCGATGCGAACTCTGTTTGAATAGATAGTTGCGACAGGTATGTGAGGACTTGCGTCTCGCCCAGAATGTCATTAGCACGGAGCTTAGTTAAGGCGTTGAGGAGGATCGTTGGCGGCGCGTTAAGGCTGCCCGTGCGAGCAATACGACCATCGGCTCCAGTCTTCCCGAAATCGTATTGGATCACTCCGCTGTGCTGTCCTGCCGGCTGGCTGATGACAACATCGCCGAGGCGGATGTCGATATCGTCGTCGAGATTTGGGACGCCACCGCCAATGCCGACGAGGACACCGAACCGTAGTGAAGGGAAGCTGGTTTTCATCTGGCTAGCCACCGTGGCTGCTTGATTCGTGCCCATCTGGCCGGCGGGTAAACAGGCAGCAACGACATTGTGAACGCCGATTCGGCCGAAGGAGTAGAGGTTGGAATCGGTCGGCTGGGACGGAAGATCAGCAAATCTCTCGTCCATCATCTTAGCTGCGGCCGCCAGCTCGATGGGCAGAGCGCAGATCCAGGCGACGGTGAAGTCGCGGGCAGGAGCGGACTTGGCCATGTCGCGTCGGTCTCAGTGCCGGATGCCAGCAAAGGCGGTGCAACTCGATTGATCTGAAATATGTTAACGCCTACTCGGTTTTGGCCGCAGCGTAACTTTCCGCTTCCCCTCTTCCCCTCATTTCTCCTCTCCTCCCTCTCATGTGCCACCCGCCTCAATCCCTGCCTTCCCTCGCCACTGCGTACTTCGAGCTGACCGTTCCCTATCGGCTTATCGTTGCCATCGTTGTCATCGCCTACCACGACGACACTACGTCTACCGCTATGCATCTATTCAAGGCTGGTGGTTTCTTCTCCGATCGCAGATATTTTTCCATGCCCTCTCATGTCGGATACTCCTGCATGCACTCGGTGCCTCCGACCCTGGAGTTCTGGCATATCTCAATCAAGCACAACAATCACCCTTTGATCGATGACCTTAGTGGTATTGCATTAAATCAACATCGTTCATCTAACAGCCATGGTATCTCAGCCACAATATGTTCCTGAACAGCAGTTCACGCGGCTACGGCCAATTTTTCGAGTCTTGACTTTCCAGTCATTCTTTGCATATCGGTTCCAACAGCCAAATTTCGCCGACAGAATGCGCTCTGCCATGGCTCCCCTTCTTGCTTTGTATAATCCATGGGCGCTGCACTGCCTAGTGAGCCGATTCCTCGATCCATCCGCTCTCAAAGCCAGAACATCACGTTTTGTTCGATCATCAGTCTCTCCCGACCGCCGCTTTACTTACCACCTTGCCGAAGCGCCGACGTACGAACGTGCACACTTACGACTCCGATGCGTCCTTCACTGCCAAAGTTGAAAGCGAAGACTACGACGACGACGTCTTCGATACGAAGGATCAGAAAGGTGGCTCGGGCACCGACGCAACCGATATCGACGATCTCTGCGATGACGATTTGAATGTCGAAGATAAAACCAGGCTCTTTGATGGCAGTATTTAGTCAACTGAGTATTGGCGACGCAGGGTGGAAGGGTTCAATTGGGACCCCTTCGCCTGTCAGGATTACAGCCCTGGGACGACGGTGCTTCTCGACGCCGTGGAGGAGCAGTGGCGCCAGTACGTGCTCGCGGACTTCGTACGCTCTTCAACCTGCTGATACTATTCATTGATAGGTTCTGTTGTGTTCTCAAGCGCGACCCACAAGATTGCTACGCAAAGATCTCGCTCGGCCTCATGTACAATTTCTTCGACTGGGTCCTGAGTCAGAAGGTTGGCAAGGATGGTAGGAAGAAACGCGGAACCAAGAAGAAGAGCTCTCTAGGCACATACTGGAAGGTCTTTCGGCTCGTCTTCGACAGAGCCGTGGGTGAAAAGATCAACCAGAAGCTGAACCGCAGCATGCACAGAGCAAGTTTCTCCCACACACAACAACATCAGCGCTCCTACTGACAGCCGCAGGTTCTGCGAGATCTAGGAAAGAAGCACCGCCTAAGCGAGCAACTACCGCCTTGAAAACGGAAATTCGCGGTTGTCACAGTCGAAGCCTCTCGCGGAATCCATCTGGAATGGCTGCACAGCCGCCAGCGAGCACAAGACCGATTGGCGACCCAACTCGCCCCCTAACGGATCTTGTATAAATCAATTTCCCATTGAGGGGATCATGCTTTTGAATCACAGTCGTTTCGGTAAAATGATTTGATGGCTGATTGTGGTTTTCGACTTCTTTTTTTCTTCCATCTCTATGGAAGGTGGTAGGAAATCAAGGCTTAGAGGAGCTTCAATGTTGGCTGTTTGGGGCTGCCTTGCCGCTAGAGTTGGTCCAGTGAATCACAAATGCCGTGAATAAAACTAAAGAGTAATTAGTTTTGCACAATACGCCCGTTGTAGAAGATTGTCAAGACTTACTGTCAGAATTACAGCATGTGAAGCAAAGCCAAGCAATTTCTCCTTCCAAGGCTACCAGTACTGCCAAGTTTCTGGGTAAAGAATCAATAAAAAATGAGGAGATATGTCCAGGCGGGGTCTTTCTCACGCGATGCTGATAAGCAAAGTGCCGAGGACACCAGCGAAAGTCCGTAAAGCAAGTTTCCTCAATCTAATGTTGGGAGGAGCCCGAGAAAGTTGCGGCATATTCTCATGTACAGCCCCTGGCTTTTTTATCCAACTTCGAACTGAATACAGCCCTTTTCCAGAGAAATGTTAGATTATACAGAGATCAAAGGATTACACTTTCTGGGGCCACACACCTAATAATGGAGTCAGAAAGAGTGAAGTCAAGTAGACGTTGACCACAGCATCGAAGATTATGACTGGCAAAAGGACGGCAGACTCCAGTCCAATGATACAAACAGCGCTTCCCTTATCATAATGAGGTCGGCGACTGAAGAGACAAATGTAGTCAGAATGTTTGCAGGCCAAAATATTGTGGGAGTCTTCTTACGAGACATAATTGAAGGCTGCAACAATACCGTATCCCGCTGAAGTCGATTAGTCATGTATCGGTAGTATTGGTAGAGGGGAGCCTACCCAGCACGACGAACGTATTGGACAAATACAATTTCGATTTGAGACGAGATTTTGTCGTGCCTCGGATAACATGCTGGTAAGAGCGTTGGTGGAAGATTGCAATCCGGGTTTGACAGAACCTCCTTACCGCTTTCTCTACCATGAAAAGGTAGACCAGCTGGCTATCAAGTTAGACAATCTGTCACTATCGAATGCAGATAAAACTTACAGCCTGTGCGGGAGATCATCAGTAAGGCCAGAGGCTTGGAGAAGGGGGAAGGGGTGGACTCACTTTGGTCACCACATATGCCGTCAAGCACAACATCCCCGCTACTTCGCATGGCATCAAGTCCATGCGCAGTTTAGCTAATAGTAATAGCTGGAAAACCCACGATCCGAATACGAAGAAACATGAGAAGATGTAGATTAACAAAATCACTGTCAAAGCCATTGTCAGTGCCAAATTCTTGCAACATTCGAAGATGACCTCGCCTAAAGTGGTCTCTTACGCGATCTTATCCATGTTAACGGACACCAGTCTCTGTTCACCGACCCTTGATGGCCTTCAACAACGTTAAACTCAGGCGAGGTTCTCGTGGCAACGATTCCCTTACAAAGCGAGTATACCAGCAGGCAAACTGAGATCGGCGCAAAGATGAGACCAAAGATTTGTCCGACGAAAACCAGGTAGTTCGGGCTGGTCGACATCTCGCCAGATGTCGGTTCAATGTCATCCATCTCGAGGGTGGAAGGGGAAGGTCCGTATAAAGTGCGCTCGGCGGAGGACCTGACCTGGATTCGAAGGTGCCCGGATTCTTCCAGGTTGATCCTCACTGCAGGATCTACGGTAGATAAATTTCATCAGAGCATCATTGCAGGAATAACAACTGATTTGCATGGTATAAATAGATGCGCGCTGATGAAGCCAGTCTTTAGTCGAATAAGGGGGGATGAGGGGGGGGGGGGGGTTGGAGCGAGCTCAAGGTTTGAAGCTTTCCCGCTGGTCTGCCGTCCTAGACTAGGTTCTAGACCGAGCCTTGATAAGTTGCACCGTGCTCAGATCCCGAGTCTGACCTTTTGAACTAACTTCGAATGAGACCGCAGCTTCTTCTTCATAATCCTCATGACTCCCTTCGAGAGAGCGTTTAGGCTGAATGCGCTTCGTACAGAAAAGTGGTGGTTGTGCCCAACTCCCTGCTGTTGGATGCTGCTCTTGCGCGGCGCAAATGCAGCGGAGCCCAACGCCCATGGGTAAGTCTGCGCTGGAAGCTTATGTTTCTCGGCACCGGTTGATGATGTAACGCAGCATACTTGAGACGGCACCGCTCCGGAGGTCTCGGTGGGTGACAGGGTAGGAAGCTTCTCAGGGGACTGCAGGTATCATACAGAAACCTACGACGAGCTAGCCGTTATAAGCGAGTAGAACCAGATCCGTCATCTTTTTGTCGCCGATAATGTGGATTCGCGACGGATACAGCTATGCCTACTGGATAGCAGTATATTAGTAAGACGCCACTCATCAAATGAGCTAGTCTCCAACTTCCGATAGCCTAATTCGGCACAGCAGCGTAAACTTCATCGCCTGAAACGGGATCGTACGTACTCTAGTTGCGACCCAGTGACATTTTAGTATCTCAGTGTGAGATGGTTGTCATAGTTATTATCAAGACACGGTACATGTGCGTGTTGTCCTGCTCAATCGTAGGCCATCCGTGGAAGGATATCCGTGGAAGGATGGAAATTGTCGGGGCAGGTGCGATCTTATGAACATCAGATGTATCAGCGTTGCAGCATGCTGTGATGGATGTCGTATGTTTTCAAACGTAGCATTCTCAGAAGCTGCCAGGAACGTCTTTGTCATCTCGACTTGCAAAGCTCACAAACACCAGCTGCAGGCTCCGTAAAGTCTTTCTCGGTCGCCAGGTAATTCTGGTTTAACCGCAAACTCGAAGATCGACTTGAAGTGACTCGGGAGACGCCAATCCGTTTTCCTGCAATTCTGGAGCTCCAGAATTCTTCTGCAGCGACATGTGTGCACCAGAATGAAGACCAGAACTGTGCCGTGTCAATGCTGTCCATGTGCTTTGCCTCCGTACTACCATGCTCGTGGGACGTGGAGTTTACTGAGCGGAAAAGCATGCATGACGCACAATCCTGTATGATTCATTTTACTTACAGCAGTTTCTACGCGTTATTGATGCATAATACTGCTAGGGTTGCGGCGTGTTAAATGTAAATCGGTGCTCTTGCAAGAGAAACACACAGTTTTAAATCAATGTTTCGCGGCAGCTACCAAAGTCAGGATAGACGATACTTTCAGTCCATTCCATAGGTGACCAATCCAAACTCCATGAGGAGGAATTCGGTATCGGGCACGAACCACGCGATGGGATGTCCACGCAAACTACGCCAACAACGGTGGCCGAGGGTAAGAAACAACCGAAAAAATGGTCGGAACATCCGGGTTGTTAAACAATTCGAAGTCGGTACGATCCCCGCATATTAACCCTACCGAGTATCTTCCACCACCACTTGGGGAGGCAGAGGAACTGCTGTCTTGGCATCAGGGGCACCACTTACATCAGAAACTCAAATTTTTGGAGTTAGGCCAGGCCAGTAAGTAGTCTCTCCGGTTTGGGAGCTAGTCTATATTAGCTCTATGTACATAGGGTCCCTTCTGCACATTAGGGGACCTGGACGAATGCAGGATATCAAGGCTAAGCTGTCTATGGACTAATTCAAAAGGCTATTAATTGGGGTACGGAGTTGCATATTCGAGTAGAGCTGAACAAAAGTTGCCACGAACCTGATGTTGCTGCCTGGGACCCCACGGAAGGGGTCCCGCGAGTCATGTCTCCGAAACGGACCACATTTCTCCGTGGCGTCGCGCAACACGACTTTCCTTTCTTTGAAACAAAAACATCAAACAAAACAGCGAACAAATGTTTTGGAAACGGAGCAGAGGCAGCGCCTCAACACACTCTGACTGGTCAATTGGATAGCCGTGTGCTCGTTGCGAAGCCCAATGCGACGCAGGCACCATGACAGCCCCATGGTCTCAGTAGCAACTATGGCTAATGCATTACTGAGAGCATGCTACCGAATTTAGCAGACGCTCCCGGATAGCGAGTCAAGTCTATCGACACCGTCAACGGACACCTTTCCAGCCCCTAGTCAGTGAGAGCCACATTTGTTGCTGAATTACAGGATTTATTACTAGCCTGTTCAGTCTCAAAATGCACACCAGCAGGGGTCTCCTAGCTTCGTTGAAGCGAATGGCTCTTCAGCAGCCCTGTGCTAGCCACAGATAGCGACGCACCGGTATTGAAAAACCCTCCCATAGGCTTAGTTGCCCACGAGTCAGTCAATTTTATGTTTTCCAATACTATTCCAAATTGTTCGGGGATTCTGGGCGCAAAAGAAGGGAGTGAGGAAGAACAGGGGCTCAATTGTCGTCAGTAGGTATGTAAAAGAACATTGAAGCGCATCGTCTCAGGCTCGCTATCGCTATTTTCGTAGCGAGTGAGCCTCGTAATAGTGCGTCACCTGTTCGAACTTCTCAAACGCGCCCGGGTCTCGTCCCGGGCATTCCAGTAGGCTTCGGCTTGGCCTGTCGAAGGCGGCGGTGGTGGCCCCCGGTCCTTCGCAGTCCCAGGAATCGGCCATAGGGCTTGAACCGTACACTGAATGGGTTAGCGACAGTTTCCGCCCGCAGTTACATTCAAAGTCACTGACAGATCTTCAGTATGGTCAGCAGTGGCATAATGGGTGGGGATGAGTATGGTTGTTATTGCTTGAGTGATCTGCTGGGCCTGCAGTAGATCTATATAAACGAGTGGCATCTATCCCTTGTAGGGCAATGCTGGCCCGACTATGTGGTTAACTGAGTAATGACTGTATGCGGTGAGTTTCACCTAAACGAGGGTATCCTAGATTCTGTCAGTCACCTTATGCCCAAAGCGCCCTTCGTAGGAGTGGAAGTATCCGCAGCTAGAGCGCGCGGCTGGGAGGTGATGCGAAAAAGTGCAAGGCAAGTCTAGTTCTGGGGTGCATCCGATGACCACGGCAGTTCCTGCATACCCAGTTTGTGCTTCTGCTTAGACTTATTCCACCATTGCTGGTAATGGCTCCGGGCATGCGTCCGGGCTTTCTTCGCTATCCCGGCGTATGAGGCCAGTGGCGGAGGGCTGGGCATCGGGAGGGCAGCCTCTTTCTTTGCAAATTTATCAGCTCATTCGTTTCCAGGAATCCAGATGTGTCCAGGCGACCAGTGGCATTTGATATTCCTTGCCTGCTGGGCGTCGACGATCTCTTGCATAGCTGCTTGCGACCTACCTGAAGAGCTACCGAAGCCTGAGATGAAGCTCAGGGCAGAAGTATGATTAAGGCAGAAGTGTATCGGTGCGATGGAGGAGGTGGCTAGACGAAGTGCTCGCCGCAGGCCTTGCCGGGCTCCTTCAGCTTCGGCATCAAAGACCTCTGTGACCATAGCTTTTTGCAATGACTTGAGGGCCGCGGTGAATCGCAGACCCGTAGCCCACTGCGCTTTCGGCGAGCATCGACCCGTCTGAGTAGACCACGAGGTCAGAGGCCGAAAGTCCCCTGATCATCTGCTGAAAGGCAGCCGAGGGTTTCTTTTTGGTGTCTCTCTGAGGCACAGGTGGATTCGGAAGGATCAGGACCAGCCGTGGACATGGGGGCAGGAGAGCATAGGTCTGCTGGAGTCAGGTATCCCTCCCGGAGCAATTAGGGGCTCGCCCCTCCAGCCGAGGGACCAGTGGGTGTAGGGCGTCACTTCGACGTAGCCTCGCGGCATTGCGCCATCTTACCCCTTCTAGAGTGGCTATGGCGGTGGGCAGGCCTGACTCTCTGAACAAGAGGTCAGTCAGGGTAGTGCGTCAGACCGGGAGCACGGCCCGGGCGAGTGAAGTGGCCTTTCTGACCGGTGTGTACGAGCGGTTCGCGGGGGTAGTCCTCGTTCGGGGCGCTTTTGGGAGATTGGCCGGCTTGGTACAACCCGAAAACCAACCTCAAAGCCAACCAGAGCTGACGGGATAACACAGGCCGTCACGGCAAGTCGCGGAAGCTGTGGGACGGGAAACAAAATTAAAGAAAAAAATTATACAAGAAAGGAAATATCCTCTCTCCTAAACATGAGAATCTGGTCTTGTTTATTCCGCTCTCACCGCCGGTCCGTCCGTGTGGTTCATCTACACAGTAAACCCCATTTGCCGCCTCGCCCATTTTTTCGTGTCATACTTAAACCAACGACTCCGCAGAGTCATTTCTCCCCGCCGAGGTGCACTCTGTTCCCGGCAATTTGACTCTTTGTAGAGACATCCTTTGTCCGAATCACGCCAGTAGCTTCAGAATACTCTACCGTGATTTCGTGCCCCGCTTCAATGCCCTTACTCACTAGGATGATGCGTTGCGTACTCATCCACACAAATTGCTGGAATTGCGCATTGGACTGGCAACTGTGATTGATGAACCTCGTAAAGTTGCCCTGCCGACCTTGCCAGATCTGATAGGCTCGGCCACCCGTCGAGCTATCCATGACGTCCGTTTTTTGCAAATCTCTCGTGATAAGGCCCACAAATTCTCCTATCGCCGCGCCGCGCTCAAACGGACACAGAGCCATCAGGCCGTTGTTGCGTCCGTCAGAGGTCCGGAACACCTGCACCGGAGAGGGGAACCGGCGTCCGAACCCAAATAACGTCGGGAAGCAATAGCACGAGTTGGTCTTAGGGTCTTCGGACTGTTCCCGCCCGCACGATTGACATGTGTGTACGCCTAGGACACAAGCCACGGCGTCCACTGGCGGCACCCACCGTGGGTCATCGGTACCCCACGCGCTCATATCTATGACTGAGTGTTCAAGCTGCTCAAAGCTGAACTTAGGGTTGTACTTGAGGTATGTCGACCGGAGCGATACCGGATCCGAACCGTCCCTGTAGACTACCCAGTCGTGTGGGTGGCCGAAAAAGCGACGCTGCGTACGTTCACCAACAATCACGAGTAGATGCCGCCATGTGGGGTGCAGCGTATCGGCGGCGACCTCAATCTGCGGCCGGAGGCACCGGAGTCGCTGCATGCTATCCGGGTCAAATCCAACTCTGTATTTGCAGAAGCGGTAGAATCCCACGCCGGAAAAGACAAGCACTGCCCAGCCTCCCGCGTCCTTGATGTCCTTGTAACCGCGCCAGATGGCCATCCTGTTTCGCAGCTCCTTCTCGGACCACCCAAAGTCGTGACATGTCTTGATGAGCGTCGCTTTGCGGCGTTTGGCGCGGGACATACTGGGTTTAGTGATGGCAAGTAGCTCGACGTACGAGTCAAAGTGCTCAATCCACCGCGCTTGGACAATGACCTCGATCAGGCGGCAGGCGCAGCTGGTTTGCGTGATTTCCCGGCAAAAAATGTTACCGCGATTGAAAATCCCTTCGATCTCAATATCAGACAGCGTGCCCTCTGCTGACGACGCCTGGAGCTTGTCGAAACCCAGCTGCTCAGGAAAGTAAATCTTGACAGCATCATTACTGCTTCCCGTTCCCGCCTTTGCCGCCGTTGCCACGAGCTGCCACTGTTCAAGTAAATTTTGGGAATCGAAGCTCATGCAGCCGTGAATCCGCTCCCAGATGTTGACGACAAATCTGTCAATGGAGGACTGCTGCGGGATGAAGGCGACGTTTGACTGGACGTTTACGGGATGAGGGAAACCGTTGGTAAACTGCGTATGCCGCTGACTTTCCGGGTGCTCTTCTTCCACATCCGCAGTTTTCCTATCTGATCGCAGCGCTGAGACCCCCCATCTCCGAAATGAGGCATTGGCTCCAGTACCAATTGATAATTGCGGCAGTCCTTGATGTGGTGTCCTTTGCGCTCGGATAGAAGGCCAGCCAACGCCGTCCATTACCGATTGGGTGCCAAAGGTGGATAGTGTTGGCTGCCCGATGGTGTTTCCTTTCCTCGCATTATCCACACTCAGCCTGTTATTTTCGCTTTGTGAAATTATGCTAGATAAGTCTAAGATTTTCTGTATATCAGTGGTGATGGTTAGCATGAGTCCCTCTCGTACTTTGTCAGTTACCCCTCCCCACTCATGTGGCACATTTACGGAGGAGCCGTGAAGTAGACCGAGCAGTGACATTCGAAGCGGCGGGGCAAACCCAGGGTTCTTTCCGAGCACCAGCTTCTTCGCATTCCAGGACACCAGCAATCGGTAATGCATCGCCGTCTAGGAGTGCATCAAAGACCTGCGCCACCGCCCAAATACTTGTCGAAACGGAGTCGAAAAAGTAGTGGACTGCTGCGCCAGGCGCTCAGGAACAGGTGGGAAATTCTCAAATCGTGAGTCGCTCCTTCTGCTGCTGAGTGCGATGGTGTCCTGACCTCACAACT